AGGGCTTTGAGGGTCAGGTTGAAATGAATGTGCCAAGGGACAGTGAAGGGGCCTGAGAGGTTCCTCTCCACTCCTGGTGTGTGGCAGAAGAGTCTCACCCTCTCGTGAGTGGCTGTGCTCTGGTGGGACTGAGGCACCTGTGTGGTGCCTGAGTGCTGTGGCAGCTGAGGCAGCTCCCTGGCCCAGGAGAGCCTCAGTGGGCCCGAGGGTCAGGGATCCCCCAGCACTGCATGGGGCTCCTGGGCCAGCTGTGGGATGTGTTCTGCCCCAGAACCTGCTCAGTGCAGTCCTGGAGTTCCTTGGGGAAAGGTCCTTGTTAAATATCCTGTCTTTGATTTTATTTTCATGTGCACCTGATGTCCAGTGTCTGTGGCTGCTTGCTGTCTGGCTCAGAAAGGTGTAAAGCGCTATTCAAAGAGCTAAGTATGTGTGCTGGATCCGATTGCTTGTGTCTGTGGCCATCCTGGGAACCCTTGGGATGGGATGGGATGTGTTGTCCCTGGGAGAAGTGAGGCCAGTGGAGATCTCTCTCCTGAGCACATTGCCTGCCGAACCCCTTCCAGAGCACAGCAGAAGGCCTGGCTTTTGGGCTGGGATCAGTTTGGCCAGAGGGGTGACCTCCTTTGACCAGGGACATGTTCTACTCTAGCAGGGGTGTTCCTCACAGTTGGTAACGGTTTCAAAGACAGAGCACATCCCTTCTGGGATTTCCTTTCCTTTCTTTGAGCACTAAAAGAGGAATCTCACCCTGGGCTTAGCTACAGGGACAAAAGGCAGAAGCCTTTCTGTGCAGGTGAGTGCCAGTCCTTGCCCACACTCCCTGGAAACTGAACCCTGCCAAGCAGGAAGGAGATCCAGAGCTCTGTCCTGCATGAGGGCCCAGTGCAGTCAGATTGAGCAATCCCACCTGTCCATAAATTCCCATTTCCAAAGGCCTGCAGCCAGTCCTTTGTTACACTGCCCATGCAGATGCCCAGGCTGCCAGGGTGCAGACATGTCCCAGCAGGGGGTTTTTCCCAGCACAACCAGAAGGAGAGGAAACAAAAAACCAACCTGTAGAAGACCTAAGAAGAGACCTGTGGGAACCCAGAACATCCCTCTGGCAGTCCAGGATGGCCAGGACCTCTGCCAGGGGGCTGAGAAGCCCTAGCACAGAGCCCAAAACACCAATGGATTTGATTATGACCCGTGAAGCAAATTACGGACCTTATATGAAGATCAGCAGGCCACAACAGTTTAGGTAGAATATTAGTGAAGTTATCACGGGATGGAAAAGTAGGTTTTGGGGTTTTTGGTATGGGGGTTCAGGAGGCAAGATGGAGGGAACTGGGTGTGTCCAGCCTTTCTCCTTCTTCTTCTTGGCCTCCATCTTCTGCTGTGATGTTGGCACTTACTGATTGGTTTAGAGTAGAAGCTCACTGTCTAACATAGGTGATAGGTATTGGAAAGTAATTGTAAACATTGTACACGTAGTTTTTAGTATAAAGACATAACACCGCCCCGGGGGCAGGCAGAGTGCCTCAGACTGTCCTGCTGAGCTGACCTCGGCAGGGCAGAAGAAAATTTTTTATAGATAAGATAAAATAAACAACCTGAGACTGAGAAATGAAGAGCCCTGACTCCTTCTTCAAGCGCCGGGCTGGGAAAAGAGACTTTGAACTTTTCTTGGGATCACTCTGAGCAGCAAGAGACCCCGAGACACTGGTGTCCCTGGTGGGCTCCAAGAGGGCACCCAGGTGGGCTCTTGGCAAGCAGCCACGCCACAGCCATCAGCCACTGAAACCCAGCCCGAGAAGGAAAGGAAACAGGCACTCTCAAGGGAAAAATCCAGAAAGAACATCTCAACCTCTGCTGAGAAGATTCATTTCAAGCTCAACCCGGAAAGAGGAGGACCAGAAGCGCCCCTGGAAACCCTCACCTGCGAGCTGCTGGACGGTGACCAGGCCAAACTCCGGACTGACCTTGCAGATGATTCAGCCTTTGTTAAGAAAGGTCAAAATTGAGAACATGGGGGGACATGCTCCCAGGAACAAACCAGCATCTTGTCAGCCCTACAGGGCATGGCAGCCACACACTCTGTGAAAATCTCTGAGAAAAGATAAAACGGCCTTGAAGCTTTTATCCTCAGCAAGGGTAATGTTAGAGGCAATTTCGTGGAATTCCGCGGGGGCTGCCAGCTATCAGCAGGCAGCAGTATTCTCTCGAGGATGGGGGAAGTCATCCTGCCATCAGCAGGCGGCAGTTGCCCTTACCGACCAGGGAGACGTAAAGGTAATCCCTAGCAAACAGGTGTGGGAGGAATTGGCATCATCTCCAGAGTGCCCAGGGTCCCATGGGTCCCCAGAACGCCCAGAACTCTCAGGGAGAGGAGGGCGGAGAGGGTCGGGGAACCCGGGGCAGAGCCGTTTGTCGGCGACTGGCGAACCCGTGCCACGGCAGCGCCGGCCGGGAGCAGCCCGGGGGGGCCGCAGAGGCGGCCGTGGGGGCTGCGGAGGCCGGCGGGGGCCCACGGGGGCAGCGGGGCAGTCGCAGGCACAGCAGCGGCGGAGGCGATAGCGCGTGCAGGGCACGGCCGGCGGCTGCGGGGGCAGCGCCGAGCGGGGCCGGGCCGGGCGGAGCGCGGGAGCGGGAGGCGCGGGGCTGGCGGCAGCGGCGGGCGCATGCGCGATGGCGGCGGCGGCGGTTTCACGCAGGGGGTGCCAAAGCCGCGCGCGAAGGGCAGAACCCACGCGACTGCGATGGCGGCGGGCAGCGGCACCCGGGGAACGCGCACGGGCCGCGGCAGCCGCGCCGGGCGGGACTGAGGCGGACGGGACGGGACGGCTGCAGCGTCCCTGCGACCGCCACGGAGCGCGGCAGGCGCCTGGTGATGACGCACAAACCCGGCAGCCGGAGCGGGGCGGGTTTTTCCCAGTGCGCAGACGCGGCACGGAGGCGGCCGAGCGGGGACCGGAGCCAGAACGGGACCGGGGCCAGAACGGGACCGGGGCAGCGCCGCTGTCGGTCACGGGCACAGGGGGCGTTCCCCAGACCGCGCCTGCGCCGAGAGAAGCGCCGGGGAGGCGCGGTCGGGGCGGGGGCATCCGCACTCCCGTGAGGGCAGCGGCAGAGACCGGGCGCGGTCTGGGTGCAGAGGGTGCCCGAGGGACCGGCCCTGCTCCGGTCCCACGGCAGCGGGCACGCAGCCAGCCCCGGCAGCCAGCACACAGTTTCAGCCTCCATCAGAATCTCAAGCGGGAGATTTTTCGCGGCTGCAGCGCATGTTGTGTGAGGCGCACCGAACTCCTCAACAGCCCGGTCCCACAGAAGTGACGGAAACAGCATTTACCAGATGATCAGGCTTCAGATGCAAAAGATGGACATGTCAAAAAGCTGTCCAAAATCAGTGTAAAGTGAGAAAGCAGCTAGGTTTTTGCCCAAGATACAGAAAAAAGGGGAAACCAGTGCAAATCAGAGGTATTCCAAATATGATATAAATGGAAATCTTCTGTTGTGCAAAATGCCTCTCAGGGAGGGAAACCACCGTAGAGAGATAGAATTATTAGTAATGATTCAATTACATGAAATGTCTCTGAAGACAGAGCATTTGAGAAATATCAATCAGATCCTATCTGTGGGGTCACCAGCTGATTCTCCAATGATTCAGAGTTTTGTTGGTATTGAGTTTGTAACCTTTGTTATTTTTGGATTTTATAGGTGATACTGATAAATAAGGATTGTTATTAATGCTATATGAATACTTTAGAAAAGTTGTCATAACCCCTTCAAACACTTCCTGTTGATAAGTTGATTATATCGTGAGAATTCTCAGAATTTATTATAAGAATTATTATCAAGGTCTTGTAATATTTACAGCCAGCTTTCATGTGTTTCACTGTCTCTTTGTGTGATCATCTACAAGACACGTGTCTCTTCAGAATCTTGTCTTTTTGTTTTCTAACTACTCATGTTTTTTAGGTTTCCTTTAAATCCAGGTTGCCAGTTTTGTGGTTTTCTTCAGTTATTATTTCTTCAGTTATTATACAGTACCTCAGCCGAGAATTCAAGAGGTTTGCTGTGTTTGAAGGATTTCTGTCCTGACAGAAGTTTTGGAGGGATTCAATTATTTAATGGTTTGATTGATCTTTAATCCTAAGGTTTCCTATTCATAATTGCTGTTTTTAAGAGTCTTGTTTTAAAATGTATTAAGTGATGTCCATCAATTAGAGATTGAACTCTGGCCAAGTTCTAGCTCTACTTGAATGGAATGATTGACAATCAGCCCAGATGTTTTCTGCAACAAAAAGTATTCAAGTCCTTTTGGCTTGGCAATTTGACCATGTATGATAGCTGAGCCTGATTTCAAAGGGAGTTTGGAGAAACATGAATCCAGAAATGAGTTCTCCAGTTCTCTGTTGTTTTAAGGTTCATCAGCTATCGCAGACTCTGGGATGACAGTTCAGTGTTGTAGTGATTGATAAGTATGATTGCAGATGTGTCATTGGTTATGTCCATTATCTGATTGATTTCTAATTGTTGTTATCTTACATTTCCCTATGCAATATTGCATAGAGACTGGAACAGAACAGACCAATGTTTTATTTTCAGATATGCGAAAAGCCAATCATATAATGTGACTTTTTTACAGTGCTGGTAGCACGTAGCTGCAACGCAGCTTTGTCTCCCCTTCCCAGGGAAGTCCTGCTCCATGACCTTTATCTTCCTCCCCAGCAGCTCAGTGGTAGGAAAAGCCACTTGAAGTGGCTGGTGGATTCTCCCTCAGTTGTGGTAGAGGCTTTGAGCCAGGAGGTTCTCTGGAGGGATGCTGCCTCTGGAAACCTCTCCTGAGCTTGCAGGTGTGGAGTAAAACTCCCTGCTGGGCCAGTGAACAACAAGTTATCCTCTGATCCATCTGGGACCCCCATGGCTTGGGGTCAGCCCTTGCTGGGGAGCTGCTGCTTGGGAGAAATAGCCACTCCCTTTTCATAAGTTGAGAGAGGTTTATTAAACCTTATCAAAAATACAACAGAAGACTGAATAGAGAAAATATTGTGGCGCCAGGAGCAAAGGATTTTCCGCACCATGTGCTCTCCCACACAATGGAGGTTTTGCCTTTTAACCCTTTAGCCCCTCCCAAAATTCTGTCCATTGAACCCTTCTACACTGTCCAGTGGTGGAGTTTACTTCCTCAAATCTTGATTGGAGGTCAGATGTCACTGTAGTGACAAGGCGACCCTCCCAAATATCCCAACCCTGGCTGTCCCTTGATAACAACTGCGGGGGTAAAAAAATTTTTCTTAACCTCTATACATGGTATTTGTCTGTTAATTGTGAGAGTCAATCATTGTGGCTTTCGCATTCTCTGAATGGAGAGACATAATTCTCTCTGAAGGTTTCTTTTCCTGGAGAAGCATAGAGAAAAGCAAGAAAAAAATTCTTATCTCTATCATGTGGAAAGTGTTACGAAGATTATTTACCTGAAGTGATTTGTCAGTTGGATTCTGCTGAGGATTGTTTTGTTTCCTTGGCCAATTGGAAAAAGCTTTGTCCTGGCTGTCTGGAGACAGTCACAAGTTTTCTTTAGTATTTTTTAGTATTCTTTGTAGTATAGTATGCTTCTTTAATATAGTGTAGTACAATGTAATATAATATAGTTTAATAAAGCAACTGTTCAGCCTTGTGAATCAATGGAGTCAGCTGCCAATCATTCCCTGCAATGGGGCATCCTGCTTTTTGATAAATCATCACATTACTCATCTCTCACACTGCTGCTCCTCCCCAGTTGCTTTGCTCTCCTGCACTCACACTTCTCTCTGCCAATCTGTGGCTTATTAAACAGTCTGCTGGCTTTGTCTCTCCTGTGGCTGCAGGCAGCGTCGATTCCTGCGGACACAGAGAAAGCTGTGGCTGGAAAAATTAATGGAGGGGAAAGAAACAGGGAAGGAGAAGGGTTCTTGTGAAGATCACACTGCCCTCCTGAGGCTCCTGGGGGAGAAGGCAAAGTTGCACCAAGACCCCATGCTGTTCTCTGATGACATTTTTTTAATTGAGCCAATGGTAAGTGATAGGTGAAAACCTCATTTTCCTCCTCTTCTTCCTCCTCATCCTCCTCCCCCTCTTCCTCCTCCCACCCACTCTACCCCCGGCTGCGGTCACTGGGCAGATCCTCAGCTGGCTCGATGTGCTGGGAGGGAAGACATTGAGTTTCTGGTGCCCCTGCAGAGCTCGCCTAAAAATGCCAAATGCTAAAAGCATTTCTGCCCTGGAAACTCAAGGCAGGGTTGGGAGCCTGACAAAGCCAAGCTGTGCTGCCAGGGCCTGAGCTCAAGGGCACTCTGTGCGTGTCCTTGCAGTGTCCACAGGGAGCAGTTCTTATAGGTAGGGGCTCCCCCCACACATGAGGTTCAGCAGAGGCTGTTGGAGCACTGCCAGGCCGCATTCTGACCTGAAGCTTGCAATGATTTGCTGGGAAAGTGAGGCCGAATTCAGCCTAAGGCTAATCATAGAAATGCCAATCCCCTCCTGTAACCACACCTTGCACTATTTCTGAGTGTCCCTTCCAGTGTCCTCTATGAACCTGGACACAAGGGTGGAAGGTTGAAATGGGCCTTTGGAGTTGTCCTGCACACAGGGACAGAAAACCTTTTCCTTTTCTGTTTCTGCAAGCAAACCACCACGTCCTCGTATCAAACAGAGCCCTGATTCTGAGTACTGGCATTGTGAGAGACAATGAATGCCTGGTGTCTGCACAGTGCAACATCCCTTCTCATCTTGGAGTAAACGCTAGAATAATGCCAGCCTCTGCTTTCTTTCAATACAGGTTAAACTAATATTTTTATTTCCAAGGTTCTGGTTCCAGGCAAATTTGGGAGAGAACCCCCAAAGGGGCTCCTCTAGGAAAGCAGATTCAATCGGCCCCTACCCCCAACCTGTCCTGGAGAAAAGACCTCCTTGAAGTGGAAAAAACCTGTTTATTAAACAATAAACCCTAAACAGTATTAATCAATAAAACTCCTTGCTGCTCCAAAAGAGATGACAAACTGAGAAAGTCCCTCCCCGGGTTGCAGCTCAGCTCACTCAGTCTCTGATCAGTCCCTCTGGTCCTGGAAATGTTGCAGGCCAGGCCCAGCCCAGTGGCCACAGCTGGAGCTGCTGGTGCTCTTCTGGTGTTCAGTCCAGAGCAGTTTTGAACAGGTCCAAAGAAAAGGGAAAAAAACCCCACAGTCCAGGGAACTTCTTTGCCTCTGATGCCGAATTTTGCCCCAAAAGGCGAGAATAACTGCCTAAGAGACTCAATTTAAGTCAGCATAGACAGGAGATATTTTATTGCGACGCGTCGGAGAAATCACAAAAGGGATTTCTGAGTATCTTGTAACAAAAGCAAGCCTTTTATACAGTTCTGAATATAAAGTTACGTCATATTACATGCATAATCATGTTTTTGCATGCATATTCATAAGAGGCGTGGTGTAGGCGGAGCGTGGGCGGAGACATCTCTTTTGAGGATCATTTTGGTGGTCGTTCCGGTTGCCTTCATCGTGGGCAGGGGTCACCTGATGAGTCTTCCTCCTTAAACTTTTGAACTCCTATCCTAATATGGCTAATTCCCGGTGTACTTGGCTTGGTCCCATGGCTTGGCAAGGTTCTTAGGGTCAGTTGGCTCTGAACATGCTTAGCCCATCAGTTCCCCTATCCCTATCTCTCTTTCCTGTCACGGTGTTCCATGCCTTAGCCGATTTATTGCCCTATATGTTTCCTAAGTGCTAAGCTTTCTTCAAATGTTTCACATTCCATGTTTTAACTCATTTTTTTTCTTGAAGGCTATCCGATTTGGGGCTTCACCTCAGCAAACTAAATTAACTAAAAGCAAAGGAAAGCGTTGTCCCGCTGTCTGTCCATCCACAGACAATGCAGTCCAGAAGCAGGAGTGTGGAGGAGTGAGTGCAGTGTCTGAAAACAAACTGCTGCTTCTTCTCTCCCCCCTTCACTCTCTGCAACAAGTCTTAAAGGTGCAAAACTTATTATTCAGCGTAAACAGAACAAGACAATTTGGGATAAAAGCATCATATAGTCAACCCAAGACAGGGATCATATTCTCTTCTTCTTGTGAAGAGCCACCAGTGCACAGTGGCAGTTGCATCCCACTGTAGCTGACAGCAGCATGATGTGACCAAGAGCTTGTGTCAGAGCAGCAGGAATATTGTGGAGGGTGTGAGCTGATCAGCTGAGCATTGAGAGCTTCCAGCGCTGTGTTGAGCTGGGTTTGGAGTGTTTCCTTGGGCTCCTTGTGTTGTTCACTCATTACTAATGCTCTAAACAGAGGCTTACAGGAGTGTGGTTGAAAACAAGAAATGTTAAGTTTGCAGAGCAATGTTTTGCTGTCTCTTTCTGCTGTAGGAGGGAGAAATTGGGCCGATTTGTTTGGCCAAATTCAAGGTGACCTTCAAACCCCTGGAAGCACTGCAGAATGGAAGTGTGGCTTACTGCAGCATCTCAGGTACAGCTCCTTTGCCCTGCTTCTCTCCCCCTCAGCGAAGCCATGGTGCAAGCCTGAGCCCACGGGGCTCCCATGGAAGTGCTGGGAAGAGTCCCTGGTCAGCAGGGCAGTGCTGGCACATCCCTCCTGGCCCTGCAGCTCCCAGGGAGTCTCCTGTGCCAGGCCAGGGCTCAGAATGCTGTGTGTGCCTGACTGATCCCAGAACAGCCCAGGCAGTGCAGGGAGAGGCTTTCATGCCATGGCTTTGCCAGCATTCCCTCAAAGGCCAGAGAGCTGCAGAGCAGAACAGCTTTAGTGAACAAGCACTCAGCCCCTGCAGGCCCCTGGCCTCCAGGATGATGGGTCCATTTAACATGGATCCATCATCAGGCAGCAGGAGCTGAGTTAGAAATGTGTTCCCTGAGCCTGGATCACCTCCCAGTGCCCAGACAGCAGCAGAGCAGAGGTGGCTGAGCCCTCCTGAGCCCAGGGTGTTGGTAGAAGGAGCAGCCTTGGCCAGCACCTGCCTCTCTCCCTTTGTGGGAATTGACCCCTTGCAGCTCTGTCTGTGGAAACAGAACACAGTGCTGAGTGTCAGGAGTTGGGGACTTTGGCAACAAAGTCCTGTGCTCCTGGACCAGGTAGTTTGGCAATTGCCAAACTCTTTATGAGCTCTGTGCCTTCACTGAATGATTTCAAAGCTCCTCTAAGTGCATGGGAAGGAAAGCATAGAACCAGAGTATGTTAAGGATGGAATGGACCTTAAAGGCCTCTGGGCAGGGACACCTCCCCCTAGAGCTGGTAGCTCCAAGCCCCATCTAGCCTGGCTTGGAACTGTTTCAGGGCTGGAACCTCCACAACAGCCCTGGGGAACCTGCTCCAGTGTCTCACCACCCTCAGAGTAAAAAATTTGTTCCTAATATCTAAGCTAAATTTCCTTTCTTTCAATTTATACCTGTAACTCCTTGGCCTGTCACTACAAGGCAGCAGAGATGTTTTAAACTCAGCAGACTGGTGGCTGAAACTGGAAAGCAGCCCAACGAATGGGTTAGAAATTAGAAGTCAGCCCCAAGGCTGAGGGAAGAGGAGGGTCCATATCCTCTCCTGCAGCATCAGGAGCTGGTTGCATCCAGCTCAGAGTCAGGGACTAGCACTGAGGCAGCCTGGAAAATAGAGTATAACAGAGGGAATGATTGTACTGCAATGGACATCTCTCCCCAGGCTGTGAGAGCAGGCTGCCCCTGCACCTCTCAGGGGAAGGCCAAGGACCCTTGGAAGAATTCAGCTCTCCTACTCTGAACCTTGCGAACATTTCTATTGACACCCCCCACGTCTATGAGGTGAGCAGCAGGGCTTGGGGTGGATCCTGATGGCTCCTGAGGGAGGAGCAAGCCTGGTGGAAGTGTAGAATTGCTGCCAACCTGGGCAGTTGTGAGCAGGGAATATTTGATCTACTGGTGAAATCTGGGAGGGTCTGAAAGGTGTGTCTGTTGTTCACGAAGACCCAGTTCCTTCCTTGGGAATCAGCTGGGAGGCTTGCTGCAAAACAACCCCTTGGCATATGAAACGAAGCCTGGGTCAAAAAGGGATGTTCAGAGGCTTTTGTGGCTGTTCCAGACACAAGGCACCTTTGGACTGGGCTGTTCAGAAGCAGCTGGAAGAAACTGGCTGCCTTTGATCTTCAGTCCACTGCAGACAGCTTCCAGTCAAGTGTCTCCTGCTTATTGCTGCAAGTCACAGGAAAGCCATCCAGCCTCCTGGCTCAGTGCTGGCCCTTGCAAAGGGCTTGGGAGTTCTTTCCCTTGCTGACCAGTCCCTCACCACACTTCAGCCTTGGTGCATCTCTGGCTCTAGAAAGAGAAAAGTGTTCCTGGGAATAAAGCAAAGCATTTTTCTACCTATTTGCCTCCTTCCCAATAGTGTCAAGTTTGTAAAAAAAACCAAAGAGAGAGCAGCTGAAAGAGGTAGAAAATGAGGCACTACATCATGCCAGACACTTCCAAAAGCTTGGCTGTGGGAGGCAAAGACATGCTGAGTTTTCTTACCAAAAGATGATGCTGTCTATACATTTTGATGCTGATGTCTCATAATCAATGTATTGTTTTCATGACATGAGAAAAGGTGAATGAGTAGATGGTGGTGTTGGAGCTGTGCTCAGTGGGGCAGCAGCAGCTCTGGGGTGATTCCCTACGCAGCTGCAATCAGCCCACGTTGCTCTCAGGGCCAGGTCTGAATGAACTTGGTGATGCTGACCAGAGGGGCACTGCTCTGTGTCCATGGGATAACCCCAGGGTTGTGGACTCCAGTTCTGTGGAGTTGCCACTGCTTTGCATGAAAACTTCAAGGCAGAACTTGTCCTGTTGTATTTTTTTGCCATTCATAGCATTGTCTGCTATTTCTGGGTATTAATTGCATCATTAGACAGTAACTCACAAGAAGGGAAGATTCCACATATATTTCCATTTTGCTTTCTTGCTGCTGCAGGTGAAACTGATTAACCTAGGAGCTATTGATGCTCCCTTCACCTATAGCCCTTTAACTGCAAACATGGGCTTCTGCTTCAAGTTTGCGCCCAAGGAGGACATCGTTGCACCAGGTGGGACCCAGACTGCTCAGATCTCCTTCAGTGCCACCACAGTGTGGAGGTTTGAGGAAGAAATCCAGTTCAGTGTGGCTGGATCTCCTATGTCTGCAATCCTGACTATCAAGTAAGGATGGTCAAAGCCAGGCATGCGCCTGCACGTCCTCAGCACAAGAGAAAGGGGCCGCTTCATGTGAGCGGTCCCAGCCCCTCCATGTGTGCGGGATCGGTGCCAAAAGCCAGACAGCTCTTAGTGGTGGATCACTGGGCTCATGCGTTAATGAAGAATGCAGCTAGCTGCAAGAATTAATATGAATTGCAGGACACATTGGTCATCCACACTTTGAATGCACTTGCGGCCCTGGGTTCCTCCCAGGGCTACACCCGTCTGAGCATTTCTTGACGATCAGTCGCTGTCCGGGAGCCACCACGGTGGTGTGGCTGGCGTCGCCTCGCAGGCCAGTTGACTGTGGTCAGCGGCGGAGACGATGCTGGGTCGCTGGTGCCCAGAGGGAAGGCAGTCAGGGGTTTGGCAAGAGATGCGTTTCCCTTGGTGGCCTCAATTTTTTTCCTGTGACCCAGCAGGCGTCATCATCGTCGTGGCTGTCATCGTCATTGTTGCCGTGCAGGGCCTTCATCCCCCTATATGCAGACTCAGGGACTGATCCATAGCTCCCCACTCCTAGAGTGAGCCACTGAGGCAGAGTTTGTCCTTGCAGCACCCATGCCGCGGTATGGTGGTGGTGGCAGCTGAGGAGAGTGAGAGACAGCGTTGAAAAAGTCGTGGGCCGAGAGAACAGAGAGGGCAAGAGGGAGATGAGGTGCAGGCCTCACCCATAGCCTCCCAGCCACGCAGGCGGCTGTCTGCGGGTGGGTACCACGGGGGTACTGTGCTGTGCTGCCGCGTGTGCGCGTGAGGCGAGAGCGCCGGGGACAGATGTTCCGACCCCCTCCTCCCTTCACCTGCCCTCCTCCTCTTCTGTCGCGGTCTCGGGGTGCAAATAGCACCATGGCTTTTCTCTCTCTCTCCACCAAGGCCATCACGTGCCGCCACTCAGCTGGTCCCCCATCAGGGCTGTCTCTGCCATACTCCCTTTTTGGTTCTTGTCTCTGGGATGGGGCAGTCTGTCTCTGCTTTTCTCCCTCTGGCTTTGTTTTCCCCTGGCGCGTAGGAGCCAGTGGGGAGGGAGGTGAGAGTAGTAGGTGGGAGAAGCTGGCTGGCTGTTGGCCTGTTGGCATGCCGCTTCTTTAGGAGCAGCATGGGCCGGGAGGTGTGGCCAAGCTTTGGCCTTGCAACCTCAGATCAGACATGGAGACCCGCTGAATTTAAGCAAATTAGTCAGCAAAGGAAAAGAAACTAACAAGGATTCCATCAGTAACGGTGAGCAAAGAGGGAAAAGCCCAGGGCTGAATCTCCCCCCGCAGTGGGGCATGGGACATGCGACGTACAGAAGCCCCCCTCCCGGGCGGCGCTCTCGGGGGACCCAAGTCCTTGTGATCGAGGCTGCAGCCCGCAGACGGTGTGAGGCCAGTAGCGGCCCCCCGGCGCGCCGGGCCCAGGGCTTCTCGGAGTCAGGTTGCTTGGGAATGCAGCCTAAACTGGATGGTAAACTTCATCTAAGGTTAAATACTGGCACGAGACCGATAGCCAACAAGTATCGTAAGGGAAAGTCTAAAAGAACTTTGAAGAGAGAGTTCAAGAGGGTGTGAAACCGTTAAGAGGTAAATGGGTGGGGCCTGCGCAGTCCGCCTGGAGAATTCAACCTGGCGAGTTTCAGTCGTCTGGCACAGGTTTGGCGGATCCTCGGCTCCAACTCCCTCCGTCGTCCGGGCGAGCCCCGTCCACGGTGGCGCCATGGCGGGGGGCGTCGCTTCTTCCCTCGCGGGGGGTAGGCGTCCTCACAGCACAGCGTTTTGCGCAGGGGTGCAGGGGCTGGGCCCGCTGGCCCCCAGCACTGCTGTCAACCGGGGGCGGACTGTCCTCAGTGCGCCCCGACCGCGCGGCGCCGCCGGGCTGGGCTCACAGGCTGCGATGGGGCGCCCGGGGTCCGCGGCGATGTTGACTACCCACCCGACCCATCTTGAAACACTGACCAAGGAGTCTAGCATATGCATGAGTCAGGGGCCGTTGTCGAAAGCCCACGGCGCAATGAAGGTGAGGGCTGGCACACGCCGGCTGAGGTGGGATCCCGGGGCGCGTGTAGCGCCTGGCAGCCCCGGGCACACCACCAGCCCGTCTCGCCCGCCGCCCCCTCGCGGGGCCGGGGAGGTGGAGCGTGAGCGTCCGTGCTAGGACCCGAAAGATGGTGAACTATGCCTGGGCACAGCAAAGCCAGAGGAAACTCTGGTGGAGGTCCGTAGCGGTCCTGACGTGCAAATCAGTCGTCCGACCCAGGTCTAGGGGCGAAAGACTAATCGAACCATCTAGTAGCTGGTTCCCTCCGAAGTTTCCCTCAGGATAGCTGGCACTCGTCAATGGGCAGTTTCACCTGGTAAAGCGAATGATTAGAGGCCTTGGAGCTGAAACAATCTCAACCTATTCTCAAACTTTCAATGGGTAAGGGGGCCGGCTCGCTGGCGTGGAGCCGTGCCATGGAATGTGAGTGCTCAGTGGGCCACTTCTGGTAAGCAGAACTGGTGCTGCAGGATGAACCGAACGCCGAGTTAAGGCGCCCGATGCTGACACTCATCAGAGCCCAGAAAAGGTGTTGGTTGATCCAGACAGCAGGACAGTGGCCATGGAAGTCGGAATGCGCTAAGGAGTGTGTAGCAACTCACCTGCCGAATCAACTGGCCCTGAAAATGGATGGCACTGGAGCATCGGGCCCATACGCAGCCGTCACCAGCAGTGCGATGCCCGCGGGGGCTAGGCCGCGACGAGTAGGAGGGCCACTGCGGTGCGCCTCAAAGCCTGGGGCATGGGCCTGGGTGGAGCCGCCACAGGTGCAGATCTTGGTGGTAGTAGCAAATATTCAAATGAGAGCTTTGAAGGCCGAAGTGGAGCAGGGTTCCATGTGAACAGCAGTTGAACATGGGTCAGTCGGTCCTAAGCGATAGGTGAGCGCCATTCCAAAAGGGCGGGCGATGGCCTTTGTTGCCCTCAGCTGATCGAAAGGGAGTCAGGTTCAGATCCCCGAATCCGGAGTGGCGCAGACGGGCACCACGAAGCACCCAGTGCGGTGACGCAACCGATCCCAGAGAAGCTGGTGGGAGCCTCGGGGAGAGTTCTCTTTTCTTTGTGAAGGGCTGGGCGCCTTGGAATGGATTCGTCCCGAGAGAGGGGCCCTCACCTTGGAAAGTGTCGCGGTTCCAGCGGCATCCGGTGAGCTCTCATTGGCCCATGAAAATCCGGGGGAGAGGGTGTAAGTCTCACACCGGGCCGTACCCATATCCGCAGCAGGTCTCCAAGGTGAACAGCCTCTGGCATGTTGGAACAATGTAGGTAAGGGAAGTCGGCAAGCCGGATCCGTAGCTTTGGGATAAGGATTGGCTCTAAGGGCTGGGTTGGTCGGGCTGGGGCGCGAAGCGGGGCTGGGTGCGTGCCGCAGCTGGACGAGGTGCCACGCGCAGGTGAGTGCACTCCGCACGACCCGCCCGGGCGCTGGGGCGTGCACGTGCACGGTGGCGACTATGGACACACACCGGGTCCTTCCTGTGGATCGCCCCGGCTGTGGCGGGCGCCGCCCGCCCCCCGCTCCGCCTGCCCCCCGCTCCGCCCGCCCTCTGCCTTGCCGCAGCCGGCGCCCCAGCGGCGGCCGTCATCGTTACACGCCGCCGCCCCAGAGGTTCCTGCCGGTGGGGTTCCCACGGTGTGTGGCCAGCACGCGTGCAGCTGTAGCCGGCGTCGGCTGAGCGGTTTGTGCGGGAGAGGGTCCCTGGGGGAGGGTCCCCGGGCCAGCGCCCCACCTCAGTCAGTGCCTAGCAGCCGGCTTTGAACTGGTGCGGACCAGGGGAATCCGACTGCTTAATTAAAACAAAGCATTGTGAAGGCCCGAGGCGGGTGTTGATGCGATGTGATTTCTGCCCAGTGCTCTGAATGTCCAAGTCAAGAAATTCAATGAAGCGCGGGTAAACAGTGGGGAGTAACTATATTTACTAACTGGGCATAGTCGCGGAAGTCGCACCTCCTCGTGGTCCTGCCAGATACCCTCGTGGTAACTGAGTCGACTTCTGCCCCAGTGTGAGAGAGGGCACATATCAGCCCTCCCTATTGTTGGACTCACCACCCAACAATAGTTTCACAAATCGCTGAAACAAAAAGGTTGGCACAGTTAGTTCGCTGTTGCAAAGAGCCTTGTCCACGGGCTGTTGTTGACACAGTTGGTAGTTTGAGAGAGGGTCAGCTACTATATGCTTCTACCCTCACTTGGACTTGTCACTTTATTGCTTACCGGACTGACAAAATGGCTTTGCGTTATATCTCGACTACCACTCAGACTGACCCATTAGATCTAAGGGTCATTGATGCCAAATTACCATCTATGCCCTCTGTGCCCAGGGAAGAGGGATTCGATCTTGCAAGTTTGGAGTTTTTTAACTCCAAAATTGTTAAAGAAGATGGTGTACATCATGTGGATGTTTGGTAGGGTTTGGGGCAACTCCCTGAGCCCTATGAGATCTCCCCTATGGGGATGGCCCAGGATGAGGCTGAGAGTGCGGTGGGAGGTACCGAAGAGCCCAAAACACCTGAGGCTGAGAGCGCGATGGGAGGTAGTGAAGAGCCCAAAACACCCGAGGCTCCTCACAGGTCTGAAGGTGATGGTACAAAGCCACAAACACCTGTCGTGTCCATGCCTGACAAACAACCATCTTGTCCTTGTTGTGAGACCTGGTTTACTAGGATGTTGGGGCTGATTGACCATCTCAAAAGGACACACGGGCAGAGAAAGATCATTTTCAGGTGTTCAAAATGTGGTAAACAAAATCTAAAATACCACAGTATCTCCTGTCACATCCCGTGCTGCAAGGGGGTGGTGTGTGTGGCTCCCACTGGGGAATGGGTCTGTGAGGTGTGCCAACGTGGGTTCGCTACTAAGATTGGCCTGGGTCTGCACAAGAGAATAAGACATCGTCTTGTGCGAAATGTGGAGCGGATTGTTGCTTCTCATCCCAAAGAGTCATTGGCCT